ATAAAGACACTTTTTTCTTTTTTTTTTTTAAGATTTGAAATTAACCTAGTAAATTATTTAAAATATTGAATATTTTTAAAACAGTTAAATACTAGACATACCATGGACACTATCATGTGTTTATGAAAATTGTCCTGCTACCCTGGACCCTAGTGATGTAAACAAAATAAACATTTCAGATTCTGTTACAATACAGAAATCAAATTGATTCTTTTATTTATTTCCGAGAGTATTTCCTTTAAACAACCCTATTTTAATTGACTATTAGATTTTGGTAGGACCACCTTGAATATTATTGCAATGCATGGTGTATCAAGTTGTTAATGAGTTTGTTGTTAGATTTTCTCTGCTGTAGAGGCAATACCGAGAGGTTGAAATTTTGATTGTTACATGTTAAAATTGCTGTCTATTTTTATTTGATTACCTGTAACATTGTAACCGAGTCTATAACCTTTCTTATAAGAATAAGTATATGTATGTTTTAACAAATTTTCCCCTCAAATCCATAATTTAATTAAGTAGCTATGTCAGTTTTTAACACAAACTACCAGCAACTTTTTGTTTATGTATATGATTTTTTTTTTAATTTTTATATCGTCTACTATGAGTGGACAATCTGTAGGTTGTTTTCCCACTGTTTCTGTATTCTTTATAATATTTTTTAGGAAAAAATCAAATGACAAAAATAGAAAAATAAAAAAATTCAAAAACAAAGTCGTAATTAGGTACACAAGAAAAATGGTGTTATTTGTAAATACTGAATAAAGTTATATTTATGCAAACTATAAATAAAATTATTTTGTAAAACTATACATGAGAGTATTATCCTTATATTGTATAAAATTGAGACATAATCTATGTGGTTATGTGAAGTTCCCACAGTCAAAAACATGGAAAAAATTTGTTTAAGTACCTATTTACCTAGTTCATTTTCTGATAATTCTATTCTCTGGTCATCTTGTATTTGCACAGTTTACAATCAGAATTGATTGTCCAGTGGATGATCCAAAAAACAGTTGCTTTTTTTTAATTGAACTTTTTTTTTATTAACTTTATTAAAATGAATTAAAAAAAATGTAATTTAGGTATAAAATAGAAAGTCATCTTTCTGAAAAAAAAAACTTATAATTCATATATTTTTGACATTTCACAAAAAAAATATTGCAATAAAAGCTTTGTTCAAACATGCTGAAATGAAACAAAATAAATATAGTTTAAAAAAACTAAAAAACACGCTTTTATAATACATCGAACTAAAAAGTGAAAAATAAATAGTTTAAAAAAACTAAAAAACACGCTTTTAGAGCATATCAAACTAAAAAGTTAAAAATAATTTTTCAAATAAGCTTAAAACAATAATAAATGGAAAATACTAGTATTATTGTGAAAAACGCGTCGGGCGCTCGATGTACGAGAAATATGGACAAAGCGCCCCCACAATAATACTAGTATTTTCCATTTATTATTGTTTTAAGCTTATTTGAAAAATTATTTGATATGCTCTAAAAGCGTGTTTTTTAGTTTTTTTAAACTATATTTATTCTGTAGTTGTTTTCAGCTAGAGTAGCAAACAATTATTTTATTTATGCAGAATGTTACTTCATCAATTTTACACTAGATGTAGAGAATTTATGGCATTGCAGATGGGGGCATTTAAATGTGTGCTGCAATAGGAATATGTTTTTAGATTTGTAAAATACAAGGAGCAAAAATGTTTTTAATGAATATCCCAAAAATATAGCATAGGTTACAACTCGAAATTCCCGAATTTTTTAAAAAATAGCTATTTTTTTCGAAAAATCTTTTAATATTACTAGAGCCAAAAAATGTAGCATACTTGTTTGAAAAAAATAAGTAGCTTTGCTTGCTTCATTTGAAGTTAGCATAATACCCCAAGTAGCACATTTATAAAAAAAAATAGCTGAAAAGTTTTACTAATAATATTTCAAGAGCCCTAACCAGAACCTATACATGTGGCATAGTTGTTTTTTGAAATATTATTTAAAAACAGAGGTATACTGCTGGATTCCACCAGAGCACCTTGATATTTGTAAAATATGATTAATAGATTTTGTGCAAGTGTCTTTTGTAAACATATTGAGTTTATTGTTTATTAATATATTGGTAAGTATTGATTTTTTTCATTGGTATAAGAGAATGAATAAGTAGAATTTGATTTATGTTTTTTTAAGATGTTTGTTTCATATAAGGCTATTTGGAAATTCTAGTCAGTAGGGTGGTTTACAAATTTATAAGACAACTTGAGTGTTATACATATTTTCAAGTAAAATATGTGGGATATAACTTTGGTAACTTACCAGTTGAATATTAAATATGGACGTAGGCCAATATTAATAGTATAAGCAGTGATAAGCAGTATTTTTAAGTGACTCCTATGTATTATATTATTAACATATGTATAACTATCCATTTCATTAACTGTAGGGTGATTTACTAAGTAAATTAATAGTTACTCTACCTGAAGATAGTGTTTTTGAGAAAATTTCATTTGAACTTTTTGCGTTTATTGCGATTAAGAAATTTATTACAATTGGTTTTAACAAAACAAAATTTGACACTTGTAAGCCTAATCGAGTTTAAACTTTTGATGCAGTCATTTTTGAGGTATATTAAAAAAATGACTTGAAAGCGCCAACTTCAAAGATCTCTAGCATCCTTATAAAGCATTTTGGATTAAAGTATTTTAATTATTATTACTAGATTTAATGCATACATATTTTCTTTTCCAGCATTAATGGGAATAACCGTATTTTATACAGTTTATTTAATTAATATTTATTGTATCGAATATGTCAAAAAACCATTTGATGTGGAATCATCTTGTATTTAATCATACATATTTCTTTTAGTAGAAGGTAAATTCCTAAAATTCCAGCTTGTAGCTTCATTAGGCTTTTGAGATATGTTAAACCACTATTTAATACCAAATAAAATACATGTCCTTCAATAGGATAACTATTAATTTATTTAGTAAAATACCATGTAATTAAAGAAATGGCTAGTTATACATATATGTTGGAATTATTATAACATAAGAATCACTTAAAAATGTTGCTTATACCATTAATAACTTAAAATAACATATTGGCTCATATGGATATTTACTAGGTACCCTGTAGATATTGTACGTAAGATATTTTGTTTTTTCATTAGAAATGGTAAATTTAGCAATAATTTACTATTTAGTTAATATTTTCACCACTAGAACAATATAAGTAATTATCAAAAACATGTCCTTATTTATTCGAGACTCACCATGTAGAGGAAAATATTTTCTGACCCCTGTATCTATTCGTAGAATGCCAAAAGATGATAGAATAAGATTGCCCTCAAAAAATTACAATTGGTTAGCTTTCTTCTGAAATAACACCATGTATCTTAAAAACCAGTCAGATGATATGAATGATCCCATAATTTTTTGATTTATTTATTTGTCATTAAGGTTTTTGTTTAACATTTTAATAGGTAGAACATTTTATTTTATTGATACCCTGCTATAGGAGTTATCCTTTTTTTCAGGGTGGTCTACTTTAATTACAAACCTACCCAGCTATTTTCCTAGGGTTTTCGGCGAGACAGGTTGATTTTTCAACATTAGTATCGCCAATTTTGCTATTTCCAACTTTATTTATTTCTAGCAAGTCCAGAATAAAGTTGGAAATATGATTTAGGAAAACCAAGTATAGTATATTACATTACATTCATAAAATTGAGAAAATCGTAACCTCGCATTTTGACACCCCCTATATACAACATAGCAAATGAATGGAATGAAGTCAATTAAAATTGTGTGACGATGTGAAAACAATCAAATATGTATACCTACCTGCAGGGTGTTTTTCTTTAAAAAAAAGTATATGTTTGATCAGCACTTCGTTTATGGACCACCCTGTATATTTAAGAATAATTGTTAAATATGGTCATATAACTTTTTTCATTTTTTTTTCATATTTCAAATAATTATGCACCGATAGGACACCCTGTATAAATATGTGTTAAAAGTCTGTATTTTAAACAATTTTTAAATTATTATAAATCTACTTAAATTATGATAATTTAATTTGGGGTCTGCATCATTCTCTAATTTCATCAAAAAGTTGCTTGGCGACCCAGTAATATTAAAAAAAAAAATCTAGGGTTGTTCAATTTAACAAAATATACATTTTTATCAGGCAAAAATGCAACACCCTGTATGTCCAAAAATATGTTTGAAATACGTATTCTTTAAAACCATATAGCTAACTTTTTTTAGAAATTGTTTCCGTGTCTATAACATAAATTGAAATATTGACCAATTACGCACTAATGGGATACCCTCTATGGCCTGTATATATAAAGTAACTTACCCTAGTTTTACAAGAGAATAATTTTCCGCACAAAATAAATTATAGAGCGTTAAAAGCATTCCTGTTACGTATAAAATTTCATTAGATTTTAGATAATTAGGTTTGGACAATTAATAAAATTGTTTTTGTGTAAGCAGTTCTGTATCTTTTAGCCAATCTTATGGAAAAATAAACGTTTATATTATTTAGTAATAATCGTATTTATTCTAAGAATCAACAAATAAAAATAAACATTATTCCATTAAATCTTTTTAAAGCGAAAATTTGAATCTCCCTCGTAACACAAAGTGTGGCAAACAGTTGCAGAAATCGTCGACCTGGGATTTTGACTGCCGTTGCGCAGTTCGAATGTGCTGTTGGCAACGGCGCATATTCTGCTGTTTGTTAATGAATGCCGGTTGTCTCCTCCATCCTTCGATCTTTGTGTCAATAATTTGGCGGTGCTAGGTGGCAAAATAAAAGTGATTTCTTTAACATCTGGAGTCTCCTCGACATATTAAAAATAGTAAGTAATGCATTTTTGAGTTATCCTAAGCCTCCGCCTATCGAGGTAACGATAGGAATGTGATTCAAAATGCGTGTAAAGCTTGTAGAACATAACCTTTGATTTTTCTAGATTCTTATGACCTCGCCATGAATTTGAGCGAATGGAGGCCTCAAGAAAGCATAATAAAAAATATAGAAGATACATTACAATTAGCTTTGGTTCCAAATAGCGATGCCCAGAAAACTGTACAGGATAGGTTAATCCTAATGCAAAATTTGACAGATTTTCCAAATTACCTTTTATTCATACTGGGAAATCCAGGTTTTGCTGAAGACATTAGATCTCTTAGTGGAATTTTACTAAAAAATAACATACAATCGACTTATAATAATCTTAGCGAAGAAAATACTTTAAAAATCAAAAATGAATGTCTTCGCTTGTTAAAAGATCCTTCTAGGGAAGTCAGAATAAGCATAAGTAATATTATTGTAATTATCGCGAAAGATCATCTGAAAACGTGGCCAGAATTGGTTCCAGTTTTAACTAAAGGCTTTGTAGCACAGGATGAATTCAGTGAAGTAGCATTAACCACATTATTTAAAGTATGTGAAGAGTTAATTAACAGCCAAAAACCCCAGGAAGAAATTTATAAAATAACAAAAGAAGTTTTTCCGAAATTTGTTGAATTTGTAGGCATAGACAAGTGTATGGTTCGGCAGAACATAGTGAGACTTACTAACCAATTTTTACAAGACTATTTTGCTGTTATGAAACAAAGTATTGACTTAGGAATTTATCTGAGGAATGTAATGCAGCTGGCTAATACTGATGATTTAGAACTACAAAAATGTGTTTGCCATACATTTGTTATTTATATTGATAATCATGAGGAGACATTACTGCCCCATTTACATGACATAATTTGTTATTTGTTGGAAAAATGTCATCATGAAGATCAAGATGTGGCCCTGCAAGCTTGTGAATTCTGGCTAGCTTCTACTAAAATTAATACTTGTAAAGATATACTTACACCTTATATAGAAAAGCTGCTTCCAACACTCCTAAAAAATATGAGGTACTCTGATAGTGAATTAAACATGATAAAAGACAGTTTGGGTTCTGATGCTAACAAAAAAGATTTGACAAAAGATATTTCGCCTTTTCACTTCCGAGATAGAAACAATGGTGGCGAGGGTGAAGAGTACTATAGTGATGAAGAAACTGAAGATCAAAGTGACGACTTTGATGATTTTTATGTGGGGTGGACATTACGAAAGTGCAGTGCTGCTTCTTTGGACTCAATTGCGGTAAAGTTTGGTGATGAAATTTTACCATTGCTAATTCCACTTATTAGTGAAATGTTACAAAATCCAGATCATTTAGTTAAAGAATCCGCAATTTTAGCTTTGGGTGCTATAGCTGAGGGGTGTTTTAATGGATTGAAATCTGAGCTGCCCGAATTGGTTCAGTTTTTGATCCATTGTATGAATGATGAGCATTCTGTTGTGAGAGTGATAACCTGTTGGACTTTAAGCAGGTATGTATCATGGATTGTGAATGTCCGTGTTGATAATCCTGAAGAGTATTTTGTACCAGTAATGACTATTTTGCTAAAACACTTTGTTGATGAAAATAAAAGAGTTCAAAGAGCTGCTATTTCAGCTTTTTGCATATTTCAAGAAGAAGCTCAATTAAAACTTATTCCTTACATTGATTTCATTTTAGAAGGTTTTAAGTATGGCTTTGAACAATTTCATTGTCGTAGTTTGTACTTGCTTTATGATGCTATTGGTGTTTTAGCACAATCTGTTGGAAATCACTTAAGCAAAGATGAATACGTTACGAAATTGTTACCACCATTAATGAGTAAATTCACTGAACTCAAGAACTTTTATGATGATCATTTTATAGCTGTTTTAGAATGTCTTTCAAATGTGATTCCAGCTCTTGAAGTATCTTTCTTACCATATTCTGAAATAGTTTATTGGCACTGCCTACAACTTATTAATGATACTCTTATAGCATCTGTCAACTATCAACAAAATCCAAATGAGTATGATCCTCCAGATAAGGAACCAATGAATGTGGCTCATGATGTTTTGTATAGCATGGCATTAGGCTTAAAAACACATTTTGTAAAGTATGTTACAAACAGTAATCTTATTTATTTGTTATATACCACGATGCAGGATAGCTCCAATCTAATTCGACAGACTTCCATAGCTTTATATGGAGAACTGATAGGTTTGTGCTATCCTTTTCTGGATGCTAGTGTGAAAGAGTACATTCCCTTGATAATTAGAAATTTGGATGAGCATACAGATGGTGTGTGTAATAATGCTGCATGGGTAATAGGCAAGTTATGTTCAGTCATGGGAACAACAATACAACCTTTCCTTCCTGAAATATTAAATGCTTTTGTTCATATCCTAAGAACTCCTGCTGTAGCTCGTACCATGCACAAAACTGTAGCTATTTCCCTGTGTATTGTCTTTTTTGTATGCCCTGATGTGACTGTTCCTGATATGGATGTAATTGTTAAGAATTGTTGTATGTTGGTTAGAAATGTGCGAGACTCTGATGAAAAGGACTTAGCCTTTCGTGGTTTATGTGAAGTGATTATTAGACATCCAGAATTTAACAAAAATTATTTTATTTTCTTTTGTGATGCGGCTGCTTCTTGGATAAATATTCGTGTGGATCTTAAACAAATGATTCGAAATGTCTTAATGTCTTTTAAGCAACAATGTGGAGAAGAGAACTGGCGGCAGTTCTACACCCAGTTCCCAGAAGCTTTAAAACTAAAACTTCAAGAAATATACGGGGTATGAATTAAACATTCGTTAAATGGGGAAATCAAGATATGGGTGGGAAAGCTTGAGTGCACCTGCCTTAAGTTTATCGCGTATTAAATATTTTCATATCGACCGCGAGGGAGGGGCGTCTTGCCGGTAACTTAGAATCACGCGTTTTAAAAAAATCGAGAAAGATTTTTTTATAAGATTATTTTTGTTTATCGCGTAATATTTCCGTATCGTCCGCGGGGGAGGGGCGTTTGCAAATATAAAAGTAGAGTCACGCGTTTAAAAAACTGTATGGTTTGTTTTTGTTGTTTTAAAGTCGCGTTTTAATAACAATGGGTTTTATTCGTTATAGGAATAAACTTATTTTGTTGTTCCCAACTATTTACATACCTAACATACCTAAATTAACAATCTAGATAGGTATGGGTCAAATTTAGGTAACAATTTACATCCCAAAAATTTATTGATATATTTTACATAATATTCATTAATAATTTCCTTGGAGATAAAATATAAATTTTCATGGGGTTAGATATTTATATTTTCTCTTTTATTTACAGTTAAGTACTGTAATGTGGTATTATTAATGAATACTCACTCTCATTAGTTTAATATCGAGTAATAGTAGTTAATACTAATTCAAATTTATTATATTAAATCATTTACCTATACAATGCAATTCCAACAATTTGCAATAGAAATCAAGTGAATGTTTTTGTTTGTACAATTTATTGATTTTGTTAATTTTGCAGTTCTCCAAAAAATTTTTGCATTCATTAAAATTCAGATGCTTAAGTAATTATTATTAAATGGTACAAGAAATTAGTTCTTTCGCAAAAATTTTTATTAGAACTGTATATTACATTTTAGTTTTATAAAGACGCAAAATTTTTATTTCTGTAGGTAATGCACATAATAAATTTTTTTTTAATTTTTAGTTTTATTTCTATTAATTCTCGTTACCTTTTGTTTCAGAACAGTAAGTATGATTTATTTTTATTGATTACTTATTTGTTATTGATGTTATTATGCTTTTCAAACATAATTTTTGCATTTTTTTTGCTTTGGTTATTTCATCCATGTCTGTTTTTAAGTTCAAAGCATTGAACAATTAAGGTTGTTGGGTAATAATTGATTAATAAAAAATCAATTTTAAAGTTTCGAAAATTATATTTGTTATTGATCCAAAAACAAATACATAGTACATAATATCTTTGGAAATCCCAAATCAATTTGTCAAAATTAACCCTACAAAATATTGAAAATTATTTCTGAATAGAAAACACATTATTGAAAAATAAAAAAAACTGTCGTATGCGGTTTTTCAATTTTTCTATAAAAGTTTTCAGTTTAGGGGTTCAGAAATAATTTTCAATATTACGAAGAGAAGAGAAAAACAAAGTTTGTCAATCACATGATTTTTAATAAAAATATATAAAAGAATTAAAGCTTTCAAGCACTTATAAGGTAAAAAATGTAGAAAATTGCAATAATTTTAGGTTAACGATATCTACAATTATATTTAATAGTCTTACCACTAGATGAAATGCTTGCACGTTTATAATTGAAGACATAAGTGGATAAAGGTGTTCGTCACTAGACTGGTCCAAAAAATAAAACAATTTTTTTTCTTAGCGGAACTATGAAAATATTGCTCATGACAACAAAAAAAAAATTCTTGAAAGTTTGAGCCCTTAATAATAATATTAAGAGGTGTATCATTGCAGTTATTGATTTTTCAACAGTTGTCGCGATTTTGCATAAATTTCGGACTTGGTCAATTTTAAAAAAATTTTTCATCTCTTATCCTTGTAGGAAATTAAATTCCCCACAAAAAAGCTCTCTTAGTAAATTTTCGTAAGACGAGTCTATTCTTTGTAATCGAGCCTTAAACATTCAAATTTTCACTTTGCATTTGGGATTTCCAAAATAAACTTAAATATTAAGATTACAAAGAATAGACTCGTCTTACGAAAATTTACTAAGAGAGCTTTTTTGTGGGGAATTTAATTTCCTACAAGGATAAGAGATGAAATTTTTTTTTTAAATTGACCAAGTCCGAAATTTATGCAAAATCGCGACAACTGTTGAAAAATCAATAACTGCAATGATGCACCTCTTAATATTATTATTAAGGGCTCAAACTTTTAGGAAATTTTTTTTTGTCGTCATGAATAATATTTTCATAGTTCTGCTAAGAAAAAAAATTGTTTTATTTTTTTGGCCCAGTCTATTCGTCACATTTTTTTAAAAAAATATTTTTATTGCCCAATATACTTAAAATATACTATATTTTTTGTTTGTGATAGTTCTGATTTCCAATTTTGATAAATAACGGCTATTCATCAGATAGGAAGGTGTCATGAGCCATATATCATAATGCAATTGTAAAACTTTAAACTTGTTTTTCTCGAAATAATTTTTTTGTTACATGACACCTTTATCCAGTTATGTCTTTAATTTTTTTATAAATTGTTAACCAAGCTTTTTGGATTTCTTCTAGTAGTAAGACTATTTATTAAATACTATAATTAGTTATCTAACGTAAAATTATTGCAGATTTTCTACATATTTTTTCTTAGCCAAGAAGATTTAAAGTCAAGCGCTTGCAAGCTTTATTTTCTTTTTTAATCTAATTAAAGATCCTGTGGTTGACAGACTTCTCTTTTCTTCATAATCTACTTCAAACCACTTTGAGATATGGATAATATTTGAACTTTCATTATTTAGTTCGGTTAATATTGAAAAATTTATTTGGAAATTTCCAAATAATATTTTGAATTATTATTTTAATATTATTTATGTATTTCTGACATAATTGGTTGTTTTGAAGCACAAGGGAATAAGCATTGAGAATTGTCTAGGGTCCTATTAGAATAAAATTATTTTTGGCTATATTTTAGAAAATCATAAAAAATGTTTGGACATGTCAATCTTCAATCTATTTTTTTTTTAAGTAAAATTGGAACGTTCATATATTTGAAGTACCATATTGGTGAGTTTTGTTAAATGGAGTACCCTGTATATTTATATATTTTTAAATTCCTCTTGATCATTCGGGTTCAACTACCTACACTTTTTGCACTATACAATTTGGTATTAATGACATAAGTTAACATATTAGACAAAAATTTAAAAAAAATCTGATTTGTCCAAGACATGACTTTCCTATCTGGTTATTACCCACAGACTTTTTCCGGTTATTTTGTATCTACTGTATCACCTCTGTAAATATTCATTGCTAACGAAATTTCTAAAATAATAAAATTTTATACTTCCCTCAAATTTTTCCATTACTGTCCATTTTAGAGAAGTCATATATAGAATAAAAACTATAGAGAATGATATCGCGCAAACAACTTTTATTTGAACAATTTTCTTTAAAATAGATTTTTACAATTTTTGTCAAATTTCTCGAATACGGCACATTTTAGGAAAATTATGTATGTATGGGACAAAAATTGTAGAGAATAACATTACAAGCAACTTTTATTCGAAAAATTTTCTTCTCCAAGCTTAAATAACATATTTTCCATAAAGTAGAAAAACGACCTTCAATAAAGTACCCCCCAGATGTTCCGACCATGCCCATCATTTAATCAGTTTATTACAGGATGAATTAAAGCTTACATTCAAAATTTGTACTCTTTTTCAAATATCTCGAAATAAATTTTTAAATAAATTATGTATAGGACAAGCATTATAGAGAATGACATACCAAACCACTTTTATTTGGAACAATTTTCGTAAAAATTTAATTTTTTTTACTCTGTCAATTTTCTTGAATACGGACCATTTTAAGAAAGCTTTGTATAGGGTAAAAATTGTAGAGAATAATATTATAGGCAACTTTAATTTAAAGAATTTTCTTCTCCAAGCGTAAATAACATATATTCAATAAAATAGAAAAACGACCCTCTATAAAGTACCCCAGATGTTCCGACTATGCCCAAAATCTAATTAAATCACCACAGGCCGAGATAAAGTTTAAAATTGGGTGTTTTTTTCTGTACCCGTTCTTGAGTTATCGAAAATACAGACTCAGACAGACATCATCGCGAAAATAGTCAAAACGGATTCAGGGGACCCCAAAACGTAAAATACATCGAAAACTATACTTTCCTTATCTGTATATAGACAGGAAAGTAAAAATGGTATAAACATTGTGTACAAAATAAAATTAAAATGTATTGAGCAATATGTAAAACGACATACATGTTAAAATAAACTTTCAAATTAAAATGTTTTGTAATTAGTAAAAGCCGCCTATGCTAAACGTTATTACCAAAGCCTACAAAAAGAAATGGGTCAAAATTTGGACACTGATCCTATATTGATGGATATGGCGATATTTAATTTTAGCATTTTTAATCGATTTTGTTTTTCTTTCTCAATACATTTTGTCTGTAAAATAAGTTGCTTAAAATATCGATCAGTTTTTGAATTTTTATATAATAAAACCATAAAAAAGTATTCTTTATTACTCCTAATTTAAAAATAAAATAATTACAAAACAAATGTTAATGTTAAATCAAATAATAAATAATGTTCTTATTTCTTTTTTTTTATTGTAAAATTTTTAATAAGATAATTGAAATAAAATAAAAATGACTAGAAAGGCATAATACATGCCTTTCTACAAAAATTCAAGTTTCGTAAAGTTATGTCAACATATGCGAGATATTTTCAATTAACTAAAAACTGTACATTTTTATGAGAAAATATGTCAAATGATAACTAATATAACAAAGTCATTAATCATCAATATTTAAAATTATCCAATATATAGATTTCTCAATTAAGTTTCAGTATTTCAACTGGTTCTCCTGAAAAATTCAATTCAATTCCTAACAAATTCAAACTTAGGCCCTTTTATTTTTCGACTACAGATTTATGACATGATAAATATAATGATCCATTTAACAAAACTTAGCTAATAGGTCCCATTAGCGCGTAATTGCTCAATCAATTTGTTATAGATACACAAACAAGTTTCAAATGAAAGTTATATGGATTTGAAAAATGCA